GGGAAAGTGTTTTGTTTGGATGAACTGTTGGGGAAAGGTATCTTGGGTAATGAAAGTTTTTGGGAGCTGAAACAACTGAAAGCAACTTTCACTTAACATACACTATCAAGATAAATCATAAACACAGAAACGGTTGTACTGAAATAGTATCAAGTTTAATAGAAGGTAAGATACCTTTAATACAAAGTTACACTCTATAACCCATTGAAGCTGTATGATTTATGTTTGAAAATGATGAGAATATTTTTCAAGATAAAACTGGGTATTCCAGGTATCTTAATAGAAAATATAAAATCCCTACTCATGCTGATCTGAGCTGAGGAAATATATTGCCTTTTGGAAATAAAAAAGAAACCACTGCCATCTTTGAATACTCGCTACTACCTATAATGAGGCTGGGGGGCGGGGGGGGTAGCCCTGTCTTTAGGTGTAGCTCATAGAGAAAGGGAGGGCCAATTGTCACCATAGCAAATTGCTATGGATGCTACAGTTGTCCTTTTTACATCTCTGTGGCAGTTTGTTAGATAGTTAGAAAAATATCAACTTTTTGCCACTGACAAACCCCAATTTTGCAGTGAGGAAACACTTAGTTGCATTTAAAATTGGTTTAATCATCACAAACCAAATCAGGGATCCTTCAAACATTAAGCACACTGATTTTCATGCTCTAACTGTTCTTAATATTGCTTGGAATTGAATATTTTCTATTTAAATAGTCAATACCCACTTAAAAGCAGTTTTGGTTAACACTGAATTATTCTTCCAGATCCTCTCAAATGGCACAGAATGATCAATAACAAAAGCATCAGTGAAAATAAAGCAGTTATTGGTATAGAAAGGTAGTATTCTGTATAAATGATTATTGCATTAGGATCGTCCAAACGGTTAAGTTTTTAAGGCAATTTAATATATGTTTACCACCCTTATGTAACCTGTGCATCTCAGGATCATTTTTTGGATCAGATTCAAGCTGAGTGACAATACTTGTTCTTAAGGAGCATCATGTATTATTTCTTCAAATCAATAACATAAACCTCAACAATAACTATTTTAAGGCACCAAGTTGGCACACACTCATTTCAATGTACAGCAATAGTTACTTCTGAGTAAGCCTCCATAGGATTGTGCTGCATAGGATTGTTTAAATGGGAAAGAAGCCCATGTTGAACAGCACAATCCATTTCATTTGTACCTAGCAGTGAGGACCAAAGAATTCAATTTATTCCCTAATAAGTGTATTTATACTTGCAACCTACATCCCTTTCCTCTAAACTGAGGGGGGATGTATCACAGTTAACTTTGGCTGGGTCTTTACCTATCTGCTACAGATTATTTTCACAAGTGGTTTGCTCTGGAGGCTTTGAAATGCACAAAGTCTTCATTAATTTATCCCACCATTAATTGGGGGAAGCAGTCATGTGATAGACAATTTTGAAGCATGTCATTTAAAAATGTTCACAGGCCTGGAATGGAATGCTATCTAGATCAATCTCATAAAAAAGAAAAAGACAACAGCTGTGTAGGAAGAAAATGCGGCTATTTCATTTATTCCCTACTGGTTTCAATACACTTTCTCAAGAGATAAAACTCTACAAATAAATCAAGGCAGTTGGAATCCATTGATCTATTCTTAAACCAAACAATTTGCTTCTGTCATCTGCCCCGCATGCCAAATTAAACTTTCTGGTTTTTGAAGCTCCACTCCTCTTCTCTTTCTCCACCTCACTCACACTCATGAGAACAGATTAACTGTGGTTCTATCTTATCATGCCATGGTGCATACCAAGCCCCTTACCAGGCATTTTAAAAGTTTGGAGCTAGGCCCACACAAAGTGAATTTGCATTTGTTAATTTATACATGAAAATATAGAAATAATTGCTGTAATTCATATAAAATTCACAAAAAACAAACCCAGCCAATTGATTTATCATCACATCTTCTCAAGTAAAATACATTCTTCAGTTAATTTGCACCTTGACCCAGATTGTTCGGTATCAATAGTTCCTCTTCAACTAAAATTAATTACTTTGCAGTGCTGTGAAAATATGCAAAAGAGGGGGCTTTTTATGAATGATTCCTATCAACACTAAAATGGGAATGACTGTACCAAAATGGAGTTTCAAACATTTTGCAGAGTGCTAATCCACTATGCTAAACATCCTGATTGCCCCAGGATGTTAAGTAACATCCTCTCTCCCTCTCTCTGTGTGTGAAAGAGAGCGAGCGAGCGAGCGAGTGTGAGAGAGAGAGAGAGAGAGAATGTGCACTCGATAGAATTATGTGCACAGGGCTAACATCTGTTTGACAGCTTATCAGCACCAACCCAATCAAGAAGGTGTCAGCAAAGGATCGCTGTCGTACTGCAGCTGCATGGAAAAAAAGCATGCTGGATTGGCAGTCCCAGTGGTTTTCAGTCACCTTCTTGATAGCTTGAGTACTGGCAAAAGGTATGCTTTAACATGTTGCTTTCCAAAACCATCTGAAGAGAGGGACATGTCCATTTGCTACCTAGCTGTCCACTTGAATGTTTATACATTCCCTAACTAGTGTTTGATCCCTGTTATCATTTTGAGTGATCCTGTGTACATCACCAGGACTCAGCAAGAGAGGACCACATATCCACTTTCTGCTAGTTGCATTCATGCTATTAGGACTTAGGGTACAATCCTAGGAATGCTTATCTCGGAGTAAGTCTCATTGAATATAGTGGCATGTACTTCCAAGTAAAGATGTACAGAATTGCATTTTAGGCCGTTTTTCTGCTTACCAAGTTCAAATGGTCTGGTTTTCCATACTTGCAACTGAGTATCTCAATTACGATATATACATATAAGATACTCTGCAAGGTATAATTTCATAAAAGCAGATGACAATGTAGGTATTAAAAAGAGTAACCAATAGCATTTGGATTCAAGATATTAGCATAAGCTGAAGCCTATTAACCCTCCCATTCAACTCTTAAAGCGTACCAGCTTGTGTCTTTGTAAAGGTGACAACATGCAACCCGTGTGATGCATCTTCCCTGCCTGAATAACCTGAGCTGAGTGGGGGATCAAGGCAATGCAGACTACAGGCTGTATGCTGTTTGGTATCTTTTACAATAGCGCAAAGGCCTGCCCGTGGAAGCCATGAAGCCTGTTCAAGGCCAGTTGGAAGGCAGTGTTAGAATGTTAGAAGGTGCGTTCCAGCTGCGGAAGGAACACATGGGTGCATAAGATGTCATTTTTGACTTATCACAAGAGCAAGGATAACATGAAAGATAGAGGGAGGCTGATGCTATGGGAAGATACAGAAAGAGAGGAAGTGAAGAAGAAATAGGTGGGTAAGGAGCCCTAGAATCCCAGGAGTAGGTGCCACGACTTCCTCCTCTCAAATAAATGCCACGCACGCACCTCCACCAATGAATAACAGTTTCACTGAAGTGTGAGTCCATCAAGAAGCGTAAAAAGCCAAACATCCTTAGCAGGATGAATTACTGACACCGCTGCAGGAGCTATGTGTATATGAAGCAAGCTTCACTGCAATCCAGCTGGGGACCCAATGGCCATAAAATTCAAGAACCAATGAGAAGGGTGCCAAAGCAATACTTAAGATGTCAAAAGCCCTGTCACTTTTAGCTTATCATTCAGAGGCAGGTTTCCTTTCATTAAGGCAGCAAAAATAAGGCTTGAGCATAAGGTATTATAATAGCATGCTGAAAATCCTTCATTTTTTAGCAATTCTCAAGGGGGTTTGGAGAAGACCAATGCCCCTTTGAAATTTTGGAAGGGAAAAAAGGTTCTGTTTACTATAACTACATGTAATGGCAACGGATACTCAATCTTTTATTTTAAAACAAAGGTGGCTGCTGCAGGAAGAATGGCTTGTAGGAACTTTATGCACTACTCATAGAATCTTGTTTTAAAGCAAAGGTATTGCTAGGCTCTTTAATGTTTTGGGGACCTGACCAAAACTTTAGGACACAAATCTGCGTAACACTTCATTTGTCCATGTATATCTATTTGTGCAAATGTAGATATATTTACTAGGATTTCTTCAAATTTCATAGGAGGCAAAGCCAAGCAATTATTTTATCCTCCAAATAATCACAAATAAAATGAATTATTCAATTTATTTCGACCCTGCCCTAGATTATCGAAGCCAATGGAATACCATTTTTCTAAGTATGATTACCATGTGGGGGGGCGTAATTATTTGAGAATGAAGAAAGGGCTCCCAACCCTTAGGGTTCCAGGGAAATGATCCAGCAAGCTAAGAATCAGGGGCAGGGCCACAGATCCAAGGCCTGGACATCCCTGTTTTAGACCTTTTTAAAAGACCAAAATAGAAAGGAAAAAACCCAGTGCGGTGTGAGGCCAAACCTACTCGGAAAAGACTTCAGAGCAGCAAACCTCATTTTCATGTGGGAGTGATAGCTGAGGAAATTTAAAGGATGGCTTTGGCCCGACATCAGTAAATGATATAGAAATAGAAATCTATATACTATAAAGGCTAATAAAACCTTCTAAAGTCTAATGGATTTTATTCCACTTGGCTGCTTCATCCATCCCAAATGAGCAGGTGAATGATAAAGCTATTTGGTCTAAAGACTGAAAATTTAAGCACACTCAGTAGGGAGTATTGTTGAACTCAGTAAGAATTCCTTTTATGAAAACATGTTTAGGAGCACATAGTATATGTACCCAGAATTTTCCTGATAATATGCAGAAACTAAATAACTTCTTCCCACTATTTAAATTAACTGGAATTTTCTAGAACTCCTGTGTGAAGTTAGGAAGTATACTCTAAAAATTACAACACAGTTACAATCGCTCTACTTGAAATATTCAGATTTAATCATTTTTAGCCGTTACATTGTATACAGTAATGATTTTCCCATGTCACTCAAAAAAAAAAAAAAAATGAAGCGTAGGTCAGAATTGTTCCTGGAGCTGAACTGTCCATCACTAATTGTCAATCCCAAATGGAAGCCAGTGCCTTCACGCTTTCTGGTAGACTCGGGTACATTTGACACCATTCATAGCACATTCCTGGAAGACAAAGAAGATTAATTCATAACTCTCTCTCTCTCTCTCTCTTTCATGTTGGGGAATTGGGCAATTCAGTCAGATACTTATTAGGCATGAAGCTATTGTGTACAAAGCTGACATGATATACACTTACCACAATCATTTTCCCATCAACTATCTTTCTTGTTATTGTGGTCTCTTTGCCGTTCCATTGCTGGTGTTGGGTCAGTACATTATCATCATCTAAAGTGATAAGGGTCTGTAGAAAAAACACAGAATTTTGATACTTAACTAGCGCCTTCATGAACTAATTTCAAATGTACCCTGCCTCAAGGCCAAAAAGAGGGAGCCGATCACTCTCAGTGAAAGTGAAAAGAAGTAAACTGTTTGTTCAGGTGAATATTATCAGAGTAGGGCTTACTCGAACCCTTCACTTATTCACAATTGTGCAAAGGGAATCCTCCACACACAAATCTGACTTCTGAATAGTATTACCTCAGTGGGCATGCAACTATAGAAGGCCAATCAATCATATACAGAATCCACCTATGTCTAAAGAGGGAAATTAGCATGCTCCTGCTTTCCCCAGATTATATCTGAGGGTGCAAAAACAAAGGAGAAAGAATCCCAGTAATACTATATGCATGCCAAATTAAATATGGCTGAAAACACTAGTTCTTTCCTACTTCACATTTATATTTTTTAAAATTATGGCCTCCTCCACCCAAATTCCTCAGCCCAGTATAAACTCTACAAAGAATGCAAGCTCTTCCTTACTCCAAAGAATCTATACTCTAACAACTGACCAATTCTTTTTCCCATGAAGGCAAGAATATGAAAAAGCTATCAGAAACACAGTAATCTGCACAAAGTACCTTCTTCCTTCCTAAACACAGAAACATACATGGTCGTTAGCGCAAACAATTTAAAAACAGCATAGAATTGTATCCAGTGTGAATCCTATTTAGATTAATAGACCCGCGAAAATGAAAGTGACTATTCCAAGTGGGACTAGCATTGTATACTCCCCTCTGCTTTTAAGGTTCAGAATGGTGAACAGTCAGTGTAAAACAGTAAGTATAATGTTCTACTGTTTTATGTACTGCTTTTACAGAGGCCGTACTTCTTCTGTAAAAGCCTGCAGAATCAGATTTTGCTGTCTGGTGAAGAAGCTATTAAAAGGAAGTGTCAACTTGGCAAATGTGGGTTTCCATAAAAGTAAGAGCACTAACCATGCGCGTACTCAGGGACGTGGTGCACTCAGGGAAGATACACTGGCATTCAGTAAGAGTCTACAGCCTGGCTGTTTTGAGAAATGGGAGCATAGATTTTAATCAGATGGCACAGTTACATTGCACAGTAGGCGAGCATGTTCTTTTGCTGCTCTGGTATACAAACTGGTCCAGCAAAGAGCAGACCAATACTCTTATCAGAATAAAATAGGAGGAATTATCTAAATGCAATATCACATTTGCAGTGAGAACAGTAGAAATGCAAATAGTCATTTGAGTCCATCAGAAAAAAAATCCAGAGAGGATATCTTGCTCCCTGTTTTGTGGGGTTTTAAGTTGGTATTATACTACATATGTTGAGAACTGGGTTAGCTTAAGACAAGTCTTAAGTCCAGTGAAAAAAGCCCCCTGGTATTGCCTCTCCTCATTGCCTTTGCAAACTGCCCACACTGGTAACAAGAAAGACCAGAGATCCTATAGTCTACTTGCTTGCTGGCCCTCTGCCTGTCTGTCAGGCAAGTGGGGGGTGCAATTATGATAACCAGTAGCAACCGGCGACAGCAGTGGTTAGACTCACCAAAGGAAGAAGGCCTACTGTAACCTCTTGGAATGCAATAGCTAACCACAGTAAAGCCATAACCATGGTTCTGGGTAAGAGTTGAGCCTGCTGTGGAACCCAAACTATTTGGAATCACTCAGTCCTGCCCCCTCTTTACTTTGCATAGCCCCAACTGAACTGCTATCTCTTTTGGCTCATTCGAATTCTTTTTCCCTGTGCATAAAGCAAACAAATCAGCAAACAAAAAACTCAAGCAACAGCAAAGCTGTTATGGCAACAGAGGCAGACACAGGCAGCACACAGAAATGACCCCAAAACCTGAATGACCTTTGTGCAAAGCTCTCCAAAGTGAACACAAGAATGCCTAAGCAGACCCACTCATAACAGGGGTGAGGAGCCTCAGGCCTATGAACTAAATCTGGTCCTCTGGTGTTCTCCAGATGGTGCCACCTCTTCCCTGGTCTCACCCACTTCCCCCAATCATCCATCCTCTGCTGGTTTCCCAGTCTACTCAAAGTTCTCCACTCAGATGAAGACTGAAAGGCCTGTGCTAAGACTACAAGATCTTTCAGCTAAACTATGCTGGGTATTTTGGCCCTGACCCTGCTGTCTTTGGCCCCACCCTGTTTTTCCTTCAGTCCCATCCACCACTAGAATGCACCACTAAAATGCAACCCCCCTCCAACTGAATTCAGTCCTTGGGTCTGATCTGAAAGAGTGCTCCTCTACTGCACCTTCTTTAAAATGGAGTTCTCTTTCTTTACCTTGAATGCTTGTAATAATACGTGGGACTGTTAATATTCTTCACTGTTTTGCCAACTATTCTGGCTTGTATTGTGGTTCACCGTTAGGTGAAGGCTTTGAAAGTTAAAGCCTTCAAGACTGCCTGATATTAAGTGTATCTGCCTGGATACTAAGATCTTCAATAGTAAAGACCCTCCTCCAGTTTCCTTTGCCATATGAGGTGGGATGGATGGCTCAGAAAGGCTCACCTGGCACTTCTGCTGATGTAATTGAACTCAGTGCGACGTATTTCTAAGCAGGCAAGCACAGGATTGTGCTGTTAGTCTGGTTGTCTTGAATTGCTACTTTGTAGCCGTATATGTTAAGTATGTTATGATACCCTAAAAGTCGTTGCCCTGGGAAGGAGAGGTAGAAATACCTAAAATAAAATTGCAGCATTGCATGAATAAAAGAAAGTCATCTTGACTTGGCCATACCTACACTTGACTCTCTGAATTAAAAGCACTTAAAGTCAAGTTTCAATGAGTTCAATGGATCTCTATGTATGACCAAGTCTGGCAGAGCAAAACCAAAGCCATGCGAATTCATGAGTAGGTTTATTTGAGTGTAACCAGATTCCTCCAACCTGGCCCTCCAGCTGTGTTGAACAGCAGCTCCTATCAGTCATAGACATTACAGCCAATGGCAGGAAAACTTCTGGAGGGCAGCAGGACTCTGGAGGCCAGTGCAGTCAGTGGAAACCAGTGGCAGGCACATAGATACTGTGAGAAAAACGAGTACTTCTCTAAGGAGGGACAAAACGCAGAGATTCTCCACATGAGGTATTCACTGTGCATGCATGATTCTTTACTTACAGTTGTTTACAGGTTCTTTAGATGTCATGATCCTCCATTTTTACTTGTTTTTTTAAAGAGCTCTTTGCTGTTTTTTTTTAAAAGCAGAAAAATGGACTATAATTTCTGAAAGGAAAGAAAAGGTATTTCCTACCTGTGTGACTAATATTCTACTATAACACAGTTTCACCTGGAAAAGCAGGAAAGAAAAAGCTCTTGTGTAGCTCTTGGATCTGTGATTAAATTGAAAGTAGATACTGCAGATTAAAAGCCTTATGGAGAAAAGCTTTCAGAAGGAAAGCTCTACTAAGGAATTGTATTAGCTTTTAATTGTGTGGATAACTTCGCTTACTTTAGTTTTTCGTCCATCTATCGTATCTTCATCAAATGTTTCTCCCAATCTGAAGCAGAATTCATGCTTTTTGAACGTGCTTTCTGTTTTCACTAGGAATTTGTCACCATCCTTGCTGATGATAATATCTGGCTTGGCCACATTTCCTATCTTCCTCATGGCAATCCCCACATCTGCCAAAGAGAAATATGATTGCCCATTAGATTGGTTCAGCCAAGCACAGTCATGATGGAGTCAAAAGAAAAGATTAGCAAACTTTTTAATTAAGAAGCATGGGGAGGGAGGAGAGATCCAGTGACTCAGTGGAGGTACTGTAGAGAGGAGGAGGTTCATCAAAGCCATCTGAATTCCATTCTGCACTACAGGAACAACAAGTCTTTTGTAAGATCTCAGCATATTACAAAATGAGCTCTTCCCAGACATTATATTAGTCTATAAAGCTCCGTCTTATATAAATTTAGACAGAAAAAAGCCCTACAATTCCCAGCATGCCCTGGATTTTTTCCTCCATACAGTCAATTCAGACCACTTTCTGCACCAATGTTAAAAAGATTAAATGCAGCTTGAACAATGTAATCTCTGTAGTCTCAACCTATTGAAAAAAACAGGAATTTCTTTCTTTCTCTTTTAATAAAAGTAATCAAGAGGAGTTTTCAAAAAGTTGAGCAGATTCATATATTAACCCTGAACTTTGATCACTTAATTGAAGAGCTCCAGTCTAGACATATTGAGTTCTCCAGAGCTGACCCCTGGAGACTCAAACTTTAACCCAGGTCTACCAGAAAAAATGTAAAGGTTGGCATTTACATTTGCTTAGTCATCATGTGATGGGTGCAATGTCAAGTGGTCACAGAAAATGCATCACAAGCGAGTTTCATAGCAATTTAGAGTACAATTATCTTCAGCTGTCAGTGAATCTCCAAGAGCTGAAGTGGTAAGCAGTGTGAAATCAAGTGATTTGATGGTCTCATATGCAAGTATACAATTTGCAAGTGTGCAATTGTCCCAGCTTCCACAAGTGCCTGTAAGGAGGCATCAGGCTCTTCATTTGACAATGAACTGCCAAAAAAGTTTGGAAGGTTATCCCCCTCCACTGCCAAACAAGATACAGTGTGGGATACATGGCCACTTTGTGCTAGTCCTGGTCCATAGTAGATAGCCCACGATGGGCGCAAGACCAAGGCTCAAGTGAGAGAACAAGTGTGTAGACTGTGGAACTAGCTAATGTCAGGACAATCGCTGAGTTCACAAGCCAAAGGTAGTACCTAAGTGCTCAACAACTTCTTCAGCACACACATTTTTGTAGCCACAGGCAGGAGTCCCAGTTACTCATCTGTTTTTCCTGTCATTAAACCTACAGATATAAGTCAACATCTTCAGCACATCTATTTTCCCTCAAAAAGCCAGTTTCTTGTCCTTAATGGAACACGGAGATGGGATACTATACAGGTTAGGAAGGTGTCCGTTCAGTAGTGAGTGTAGCTCTTTGTTCCTGTCCAAGAAGGGCAAAAGCAGAACGAAGTGTGTGTGCATGTGTTTATTTGAAATTGTATTTTCTTTGCTTAATTTATAATGTTTCACAGAATTCAGAATTTTCTGCAAAATGATGACAACTGAGTCTGAATGTAGCATGCACTATACATCACCCTATCCATCAGCCATCACTGACTCCATTTTAGTGGACTTAATCCAGAAGGACAGAAGGAAAAAAAGTTCTAACAAAACAGCCAAATTCAGGAAACTGTTCTCTCCAGTTTCAGCTTGAGTTAATGTTCTCTAAACAAACGACAGTGTGAACAGATCTCTTAATGTAGTACAAAACTATTCCTTTTTAATCTGGTGAGTGTACCATTCAGTTTATTGAAAAAATAATGAAGATGATATCCCTAGGCTAAATTTTGCCCTTAAACACATGGTTACAGCAAGGTTATTCATCTTGACATTTTCCCACTCTGGCACTGAGATCCGCAGAACTAAATATTTAGACAGATGTTGTTAAAATGGACAGACCTAATGTGCAGTGTCTCCAGTGCTAACAGCAACCACATTAAGAGGCAATGTAGCATGAATTACAGCAGCCTTCTCCATGCTAGTGCTTTCCAGTTGTTTGTACCACAGATCCCATCATTCCTGACCTTTGACCAAGCTGGCTGGAGCTCATATGAGTTGCAGTACAAGACACCTGGAAAGCACAAGGTTGGTGAAGACAGCACTGCAATGGTCAAAAGTTTTTATCAACTTCCCTCATACCTGAATCGGGAAGAGAGGAAAAGCAATCCTGCGCATGGGACAAGGTCTGCCTCCCTCATCCAGCTTCTCTCCTGCCCAGCCCTTTCCCTCCCTCCTTCCCCCTCTCTTTTTCTCTCCTGTGTGTGGGCACACACCCACACACACTTTTCACATGACAGTTCAGGCTGAAGGCCTGGATCTTCCTTTTTTTCATCCAGCAACTCACAACTGTGTTAGAAACATTATCCAGTTTGTGTCTGTGTGTGTGATAACTAAGACAAAGTCCAAGAATGCCTCCACAGACCTTGGGCATTTAGTCTCTCCAGAGCTGAGAAAATAAGACACAAAGCTCCTAATCCTAGATCCCGCATGAACCAGGAGAGAAAGACATGTGCTTCTAAGAGTGGAACATTAATTAGTCCCTATTTCCTCTTCATAATCTTCCACCCTTAATTAAGCCAGACAAATCGTATACACCTGTATTAGAGGAATAGTGTTGTGCATGCTCCAACACGAGAATTTGGGAAGTGCAGAACAATTTAACAGAACCCAAGAAGATTGCATTCACAGCATGAATAATATGCCAACACACTGCCACATACACCCATGGTAAAAGGTGTAGAGAAAGCCTCATAAGTCATAGCAGTTTTCATTCATTCATTCATTCATTCATTCATTCAGTCACCAAAATCTTTTAAGGGGCACTCACATTTAGCAGGACTTACAGTACAGTTTCAGGAGGCTACGCTTATTTTCACAGGAACAAAGCCTCTGGAGTCAAGAGGGCAACACCACATAATTAAGCCACTAAGTGCAGCCTGCATTTTGAATGCAAATGTACACTGTTCTGCTGCAGGCATTCTCCTTGTGTCTACTGGAATTGTTATTATTATTTAGTTTCCCCCACTCTCTGCTGCCTCTTCTTTTTTAAACCTTCTCTCACGTTTTACTTAACGAGAAGGTCTATAGTTCTCTTTTATGCCCTATGACTTCTCCCACTTCTTCATAACTGTCCTTGTTTCCCTTTGCCAGAATACGCTCAACGTAGGCTCCCGTCCCATGCAAAGCTTACCCAGTTCTTTCATATAGTCCTCAAAGCCTTCACTGGAGATCAGGCGCCATCTGCCTAAAAAAGCGTCAGCGTTCGAAGCCATGGGTCGCCGCGGCTTGACGATGGAGCCGTCCGGTTGCAAGATGCCCCGCAAACGCTAGACAGCGGGAGGGCAGCAGCCGGGGACGTCTTTATATAGACGTCTTGAGCATGTGCTGCCACCAGGGGCCAATAAAGACGTGTCTGCGTCAGCTACGCCTGCCGCCCGGCGCCCGAAGCTCTCCCCGCCGGCCACGGATGGGCTTGCATCCCGCAGGAACGAAGCGAGGGCGTCCATCCTGCCTCGCGCGCTTGGCGACGAGATCCGCGACCGCCGGCGCTGCTGCCGTGCGAGGCGTCGCAACAGCGCCCCGGGGCTGATCCGGGACCCGCGCCGGGCAGCGGACACCAGGCGGGATCCGCCTGCGTGTTGCAAAGGCGGCGAGGCTTGTGCTCGAACGGGGGGCAAAAGAGAGATCAATTCAGAAGGTATCCCAAAATCTGAAATACATAGTGAGATTTGATTTTGAGCATACCGATTAATAGCTGCCGCAGTCAACAAATATAGCCATGCAGATCCATAAAACGAAAGGAAGGAGGGGAGAAAACAAACCAAGATACACAGTTAGGCAATACTTGCATTAGAGGCAACCAGCATTCCACAGAAATGTGTAAATGCCTGCGTTCTTCAAATTTAGTCATAAGGTGATACCAAAAGTGGGAAACGGAGAATGACCAAAACTCTGGCCAGGTGTTGTGAGCATAAGTTCTGCAGTTTAGATTGGTCCCATCTCAAAATGGAGATTGATGGTCAGAATTGGAACATAATTCAATGCATGTTAAGACAGGAAAAAGGCCCCACAATTCTCAGTATACCCTAGTCTGCCATGCTGGGAGTTGTGGAACTTTTTCTGTGTAAGCACACATAGGTTTGCACCTGTACACAGTGGTAGGTGCCACAGGTATCAGATTACACCTAGCAGTGCATCTCGAGATGAAGAAGCAATGGGTTATTTTCAATTTCAAAAGCCAAGAATTTAGGTGACTGAGATATGGAAGGACAGCAATGAAGGGAGTAGAATTAATTATCAAGAGTCAGGTCATTTCACTGGAGACAAGGCCAAGATCATCCAAACTATTGTATTCCTGACCATTATATACGATGGACAGTGTGAAAGCTGGACAGTGAAGAAGGCTGGCAGGAAGAAAATTGATGTTTGGAACAAGGTGCTGGAAGAGAGCTTTGCAAATAGCCTGGACTGACAGAAAGATGAACAAGTGGGCCTAGATCAAATCAGACCAGAGCTTTCCCTAGGAGCAAAAATGACACACCTCAAGCTCTCATACTTTGGACCTATCATGAGAAGGCAAGACTCACTGAGGAAGACAGTACTGCTACACGAAGTCAAAGGCAGAAGTGGAAGACAAACTTTGAGAAATGTTCACTCCATAAAGGAAGCCACAATCTTGAGTTTACAAGAGCTGAGCAGGGCTGTCAGGGACAGGACATTTTGGAGGCTTTCATTCATAGGGTTGTCATAAGTCAGAGAAGACTCAGTGGCATGTATCAACATCAACTAGGTGAAAATGCCACTGGAACGAGCCAAAAATGTCACAAAAACTTAAGTAATCTGTTAAATTCTCTCCAGCTTTTTCTCTTTCCTCTGTTTTATTTAGCATCCATCCTGATGAAAAGCACTGAAGAACTCAAAAGCTTACTTACGTTAACATGACTGATGTATTGAAAGCTACCAGAAATGCTGAGAGAGGGAATGGGATCACACCTCCCAGTGTGTGCCAGCCAATATA